GTTAAGGCATTTGACTGAAAACCAAAAGGTGGTCTGAACCCACCAACCACTCCATGGAAGAAAGGTGAGACAGTCTGCTTCTGCAAAGATTTACAACCTTGGAAATCCAATGGAGGTTACTATGAGTCAGAATCAACTTGGTGGCAGTGAATATGACTTGGGTTGGTTTTATTTGATGTTGTAACTGAAGTACAAAGAAAAATATTGGAGAAATAAGTAATATGTGGGCTGTAATTCTTAAAGCTAGCCATATATTTATCTCTGTCATAATCATGCAAATTATTACAGAAAATGTACATGCAGAATATGGAAAGTGCATAAATTAATCAATGTAAAGATCTTGTTATTATTTGCCACTAAAGGTGCAGTGATTAAAATTTCTTATGACTAGAGTTATCTAAATGTTCTCAATTTACTTTTACATATTAAAATATTATAATACTTGCCCTAATTCATTCTATGAAGCAAACATAACCTGATGCCCAAACCACTCAAAGACAACACAAGAAAATAAAACTAAAGGCCAGTATCTCTGATGAATATAGATGGAAAGATTCTCATCAAAATACTAGCAATCAGAATCCAATAGTATTAAAAGAGGCACATATCTTATTCCAGGAATGCAGGGATGAGTCAACATTTAAAAATCAAAAAACATAATATACTACATCAATAGAACAAAGGAAAAGAATTACATGATCATCTCTCTGGATACAGAAAAGCATTTGATTAAATCCAACACCCTTTCTTGATGAAAATGTAAAGAACATTAGAATAGAAGGGAAATTCCTCAATATGATTCAGGGCATATATGAAAAGCCAACTGCCAACATTATACTTAATGGTGAAAGACTGAGAGCTTTCCCCTTGAAATAGGGAACAAGACAAGAATGCCTTCTTTCACCACTTCTATTCATTATTCTATTAGAAGTCCTAGCCAGAGCAATAAGACAAGAAAAAGAAATGAAAGATATCCAGATTGTAAAAGAATAAATAAAATCATCTCTATTCATGGATGATATGATCCTAGGTACAGAAAATCCCAGAGTTCACAGAAAACTTCTAGAGGTAATAGAAGAATTTAGCAAAATTCAGTGTACAAGGTCAGCAAACAAAAATCAGTTGGGTTTCTATATACTAGCAATGAGAAATATGAAAGTGAAATTAGGAAAACAATTCCATTTACCATAGCATCTAAAAGAACATAGCTAGGAATTAATCTAACCAGGGACATGAAGGACTTATACAATAAAAACTATAAAACACTGCTGAAGGAAACTAACGAAGACTTAAATTAACGGAAAGATGTGACATGTTCATGTATTGTTGTTGTTATGTGCCGTCGAGTCGGACCCAACTCATAGTGACCCCTCCTTGGGTTTCCGAGGCAGTATCACTACGGAAATAGATTGCTCCATCTTCCTTCCAAGGAGCAGCTGGTGGGTTTGAACCACCAGCCTTCTGGTTAGCAGTCAAGTGCCTTAGGCACTATGCTACCAAAGCTCCCATGTTCATGTATTAGAGGACTTAATATTGGTAAGATGTCAATATTATCCAAAGCAAAACTCAAAATGGATTAAGGACTTAAACTAAAACTGTAAAATTCTGAAGAAAATTCAGGGGCAGAGCTGTCAGGTCTAACTTTCAACAATGGTTTATCTCATATAATAACCAAAGCCTAAATAGCAAATGATAAAATAACTTAATAGAATTTCATGAAAATTAAAAACTCTTGTTCATCAAAAGACTACCAAAAAAGTAGAAGAATATATTTGGAAACCATATATCTGACAAGAATCAAACCAATAAGTATAATACACAAATTAATGACCTTATGCTTGATTTTAGTCATCTGTAAAGTTGAAATGGTAGTGATCCCTACATCACATAGCAGACATGAAGAGTCAGTGTAAAAGCTTAGGGCAGTGTTTGGCACAGATACAGTCTTAATAAATGTAACCCATTCATGACAATTGCTTGGGGACTACAATCTCAATGAAGCAAGAGTGAGGGGCAAGGAAGAATTGAGGCCAAAAATATGGGAAAATAAGGCAAAGAAGGAAGGAAAATAAAAGATGAAGTGGTGCAATAATGAACTGACCACAGCTGCTCAAGAAAACATAGTTGACTGGTAGGCCATGGAGAACCACTTCATCTGAAACAGTCCCTTTGGGACCTGAGTGATACAGCTGCTGTGTAGCTATCCCCTCTGGTGGCTGGTACCATGAAGCTCAAGCCAAAACCTTACCCTTGGCCCCAGGTGGCAAAGACAATGGGCAGTGTCAAGAGACTAGACAAATGTAGCAACTGTCAGGGCTTTGCCTCCTGAGCCAGGAAGCAGGGCTAGTGGTCAAGGGCCTGATGGCAGGGTAGATAATGCTAATTAGATCAGGGAAGCATATAAAGCGGAGCCAGTACACTTTGAGTAGAAAATGTTGTTAGCTGCCATGCAGTCAGTGCCCCACTCACGATGACTCCGTGTCCAACTGAACAAACTGGGATGCTGCCCCATCCTGCACCATCCCCATGAGCAGCTGCAAATCAGACTGTTGTGATCCATAGGATTTCATTGGCTGATTTTCAGAAGATGGCCATGTCTCCCTTCCCGGTTCATCTTAGTCTGAAAGCTTCATTGAAACCTGTTCTGCATCATAGTAACACACAAGCCTCTACAGACAGATGGCTGGTGGCTGAGCATGAGGCACACTGGCTGGGAATCAGCCCGGTCTCCTGCACAGAAAGTGAGAATCCCACCACTGCCCCACTAGTGAAAAGAAAAAGAAAAAAAGAGGTTAATTCTAAATAATAGCCAAATAACACAGAAATAATAAGGGTCAAACCAAAGAGAAAATTACAATCAAGTAAAATTAAGGGACCCCCGTATATGAGAATAAGGAGGTGAGGGTAGTCATGAAAACTCCATGGAGGAAAGAAGATAAATCCCAGCAGAAAAACGGGTCTGTTAGCTTGGATAATCTTATCTAATATTTCCATCCAGTTTTCACTACCTTACTTCGTTATACTTTAAGATTTTACTTTTTTAAGATGTACACTTCATTGCAGGATGAAAATTGTTTTGATTAACCCTAGGTTACTCTGGTCACTTGGCAGTTAGATTTCTCACGGGAATTCATAAATCTAGTATCAAGTTAATCAGTGTTTTGTGGATTCGGTTATTGCATATCAATTCCTCTGAACCTCATCATGCTAGAACAATAGATAAATTTGCACTTCTGCTCTGAAGCGCTGAGACCCAAACCATGAATCTTAATGATCCACTTACTTAAAGCAGCTGCCTAAGTGCCACATATGCTAGATTACAACGTACTACTCTGGGTCAGAGTCTCCACTGCCTTAGTTTATAACAATATTAGTAATACTTGTAACAACAGAGAATGTAACGTAACTAGTGAGCTATCAAGAAATTTTGTTTTAACTTGATTTTACTCTTTCCTGCTATTGTTGTTGTTGTTGTTAAGTGCCGTCGAGTCGGACCCGACTCATAGTGACCTCTCCTTGGGTTTCCGAGACAGTATCACTATGGAAGTAGATTGCCCAACCTTCCTTCCGAGGAGTGGCTGATGGGTTTGAACCACCAGCCTTCTGGTTAGCAGTCACATGCCTTAGGCAGTACGCCACATTAGGAAGGAATAAAAAGTAACATGCCTTGTGTCTTAAAGTTAGGCAAGCCTTTGGGTTCTTAGGGGTCAAGGGCCAGGCTCTCTGGGTCTTGTTTCTCAATGACTATCAAGACACTTTATGTGAAAAATGTGCAGTTGGACACAATTTTGTGTGTGTTGAAAGATGGAAATTGGGTAGACTCCCAGAAATTTAGAAAAGGAACTAGGATTTCTTTTTCCTTGGGAACAGAGAATTGTGACTGCTCAAGCCAGCCCGTCTAAAATGGTAGATCCTTGAAGGTGGAGGCGGTGGGAAGCTGGTAAAGTCTGAGCACCAAGGCTTGGGAGCCTGCAGGAGGGGCCTTCAATTCCCCCTTAAGGAAATGGAGCTACAGCAGAGCTACCCTCCATGGAAGGACCTCCACCACAGGCACAGGACTGCACAGAGACCTAGTGGTAGGTAGCTACAGGAAGCAGCCATCAGGACACCACACCTCAATAGCGGCATCCTGTGGCCCTAAGGAGCAATAACAAGAGACAAAAGCTGAGCAGTCCTGGATGGTGTGAAGCTCTGCTTCCTGACCTCGATCCCCAGCTTTGAAAGAGAAAGGGAAGGACCCTAAAATAACTGATAATAGACTTCCCACCAATCTTAACATGTAGGGTTCTAACTCAACCATGAAAATAACGGTAGATTGCTTCTTTTGAACATATTAAATTTGAAATGCTTTTCAAGTGGACTGTAGCTCAAGACAGTGGTCTAGAGTTTATGTAGCTGGTAAGTGAGGCCTGGGAGTGAATGTCAACTGTGGAGTATCTAGAGTGAAAAGAAGGCTGAGAACAGATTCCTGGACGTTCATGTTTTAAGAGGCTAGAGAAGAGACTGAAAGGTAAAACTATTATGTGGCATTTATGAAGCACCTACAGATCCTTAAAAGTTGCGATTGTATGTCCCCATGAGAAAAGAGTGTTTATGGAAGCTTGTGGCCAGCAGGTATTTCCACATGCCACTGGAACAGAGCCAGGATTCAGTGGAAACTGGAGGAAAACAATGATCTGTCTGAAACTCAAGTCACACTCTTGAGCTCCCAGGTTTGCTTTATTCCCTCTACCCCATTCCCCATCCCTCATACCTTCACACTTTCACACAGGTCTGGCCCAGGTGAAACTGCTTTTATTGACGCTGAGCACAAGCAGGAGTGTGAGTGGCTGCTCCTCTTTTGGAGGACACAGAGCTAGGCTAAAGGAACCCGGAAGGGAGGGCCTGAGCTGGGCTGTGGATGCAAAATTCCCTCCTTATTTGGGCGTGTGTGCTGCATTCTGGAGGAGGATTTATTTTGGGACTAGGTATAGACACAGTGGGGCAGACAGCACCAGCCATCAGGCTGCACTTTCTATTTGGAGCTGAGCCGCTTCCGGGGCCCCAGGTCTCTCGGGATCTTCCTGCGCGTCCTGAGGCGGCTCTGGCTCCAGCGTGGACTCCTGGGCGGGCTGGGCTTCAGGCTGGCTATCGGCATTCCGGCCAGGCCCAAGGCGAGGGGGCTTCACCGGCGTGGGTAGTGGCGCCGCAGCGCCTTTCCGGCCCGAAAGAGCCCTTCTCAGGCTCTGTACCTTCTGCAACCCGCTGCGCCGCAGCCGCCGCGCCCGAGACTCCACAGGCTCCTCGTCCGAACTCTCCCCAATTTCCGCCTCCTGCTGCTCTGGGCCCAGCTCGGGCTGGTCCGCTGGGCCCAAGGGCTCTGGCGCCTTCTGGAAGGCGCTGGCTGGGATTTCAGCCTCCTCCTGCAGGTGACAGACACACCACTGACCCCAAAAGCAAAGCCATCTCCCCAGATCCCTACATGCACCAGCCTAAGCTTCATTCCCCAATTACAGAAAGGGAAGCAGCTCCACACTTTACCTCCGCAGCTCAAGACGGAAATAAGTTCAAGCATGGAGACGAGTGCGGGAGAGCTGCTTGCGAACAGCATATGGAAAGAAGATGGGGCACGGCTAAGGGCGTGAGATGAGGACGGTGACCGTCCGGACAACAACTGCCGCGGGGTGCACTTCCACCACCGTTATTTTCCTTCCAGGAAGAGTTGGGACTTGGAGCAAATTTTGTGGATGTGGCCTGAGCTGGAGCTGGGCGGGCTTTGATTGGCCAAGATGGGCTCTCGCTAGTAAGGGGGGGGGGGATGTGCTGGGGTGATGGTTAGGGGGTGCGGCTCTGGAAGCCTGTTCCGCGGCTGCGGGAAGGTGGGCTGGCTCAGGAATGTGGTGTGGCAGGCAGGGGGCAGGAGGGAGGCAGGCAACGCCCAGATTGTGGCCCAGGGGCGAGAAAAGGCCCCACTTTGGGGACTCTTGAGGTCACTGACCTTGAATAGCAAGACACGTAGCTTCCCGCGCGTTACCAGCAGCCCGTGGTTGGCCTCCAGCCGCTGCACCTGGGCGGCGCGCTGCACGGCGCGCTCCTGGGCGGCGTCGGCGTGCGAGCCCACGCGCTCTGCTTTGGCCAGCAGCTGCGTTAGCGTGTTGCTGGTGGTGTCGTGGCTGCGGCTCAGCGCGCCCAGGCCGCTCTGGATGCGGCTCACGGAGCCCGCCAGACCGCCCTGCCTCCGAGCCAGGCCCCCTTGCCGCTCCCGAAGCGCCTCCAGCATAGTAGCCAGTTTCTCCAGCAAGGTCACCACCGTCACGGCGTGCACGGGGCCCCCCGCTGGCGCCCCGGACACAGGCCCAGGTTCTAGCGCGCTTTCCCCCATGATTCTGGACAGTTTCTTGCCTGCTTACCCCGCGGCCGCCGGCTTCGTTCTGGGCTGGGGCTGCCTTTCCTCGGCTCCTCCCAAGCCCCAGCGGTGACTCAGGCAGGCGGAGTTGGCCTCCTCCGGCAGCCGAAGGGGGGGCGGGGGACGGGATGTCGGCGGAGGGGTTGGGGGGGGGGTCGTACACAGGCGCTCCCTCTCCTGCTGCCCCGCCTCGGGGACCCGCGGGGGAAGCGTGTTGGCCCTGGACCCCGCCCTCTGCAAACCCTCTCATGTTGCGTTAATCTCCCTCCTCCGTCCAAATTTTCTTCTATGCCTCTTTCTGGAACACCATCATAAAGTGGGAGCCACAGAAATTTTTATTTCATGATTCAAATAGGCAGGAAAACTGCTGTTTCTGTTAGCGCGGCAAAGGACTAACCAGAGTGCCGCCGCCCCACCCACAGCGCGCAGCTCGGTGAACTTGAAGCTCCGCGGTGTTGCCTGGACTACAGATCTGGGGTTGTATAGGCCCAAGGCCCGGTTGTATGAGCAATGTGGGCGGGCGGGGCATTCTTTGGTATTTTCCTCACAGTGATTGCCAGGGTGTTGCCGCAAGCCCTCGGTTCCGCTTTTCTAGTCCTTTGTTAGCATTATCCAGTGTTCTTTCTTCTGGTTCTCTTCCCTCCCTTTCTTTGGGCTTGTACTGTAAAGCTCAGAGGAGCCTTCACCGCAGACGTGCAAGGCAAGCAGGACACCCTTTCCTTTAAAACCTTCAAAAGACTTAGAGTAGGTGCTAGAATGTCTTTGTTTTCATGGAAGTTGGTTGTGACTCTTACATAATGCTATTTTCTCTGGAAGTAGGTGAGAATATCTGTGGACAATAAAAAAGATTTTAAATTGCAGCTGTTAAAGGAGGAGAGAGTTGACATGGAGCGAACTGTTAATGTTTCAGATCATGAATTTGCTATGTCATCAGTTTGGAAAATCCCAAGCATTGTCTTTAGCAATACTTGACAAGCTAATTGTCAGTTCAGAGGCCCACGAAATCCATTGACTCTGATGAGCTCTCTTCATCCAACCTGTGAGAGTTGCTGAATAACAATTGGGAGAAACTGTCACATAGGGCCAAAGAGTTGCACAGCCAAAAAGGACACAAAATGTGCTTTCACAGAGAAGTACAGCAGACTAGATGGCACTGGTGGTTCAGTAGCAGAATTCTCTCCTTACGTACGGGAGACCTGGGTTCAATTCCCCACCTCAGAGCAACCACCACCCATCTCTCCGTGGAGGCCTGTGTGCTGCTATGATGCTGGACAGGTTTCAGGGGAATTTTCAGGTCTAGGAAGAAAGGCCTGGCAATCTACTTCTGAAAAATTGCCCAGTGAAAACTCTGTGATCACAACAGCCTGATCATGTTGTACATGGATTCACCAGTAGTGAGTGACTTGATGACCACTAACCACAGCAGACTGTGAGCAACTATTGCCAGAAACCTGGTGATGCTAAGTTGAGGCGTGACTTCTGCAAATTCAAGGTAATTGAGCCTGGTCCCCTGCTTAACACAAGAGGAAAAGGATCTCTTGGGTCTGATGGGAATCACTCTCTTCCAGTGCATCTGTATTTGCCCAGACAGAATGCGCCAATTAAAGTGCTTTCAGACTGCAGGAACAGGAAAACCAATCCAAACAGCTACTAAGCACGGAAGACCCAATTCAAACCTAATTGGAAAAGACCAGTAGTAGAGTGATAACTAAGTATAGATGTATCACAGCTCCAAATCTGGTTCTATGCAGTTCTTTCAATCCTGCTCTCCTCCAGGCAAATAATTGATGTTCTTCTGAACATCAATAATGAAGAGCAAGAGCAAGGTAGCTACAGCAGTTCCAGGCCTCCCATCTCTACACAAAATCCAGAAAAAAAAGCTGTCTAAAAATGAACACATTTATTTCCAAGAAGCTCCCAAAAAAATTCCACATGACCCCCCACTTGGTTAAATGCCCATTCCAGAACCAACTCCTGTGGCTAGGAAAGTGCCATGCATTGATGGACTGAAGCCTCAGTTTCTTAACCAATCATCGATAAGAGAGCTGAGACCACTTTGGACAAATTAGGCCCACTTCTGGCGGCAGGGTGGGATCGGCTTCCCCAGGAGCATCTGGTGATATGAGAGGAAAACTGGCTATCTTTGTAAACCTCTGGAAGAGTGGAGGAGTGGGCTGCTGTTGGTAGGTGGAGTCGTCTCTGCTCACAGCGACCCTATGTACAGCAGAATGAAACACTGCCGGGTCCTGTGCCAGCTCCACGATCCTTGCTATACCTGAGCCCATCGTTGTAGCCACTGTGTCAGTCCATCTTGTTGAGAGCCTTCCCCTTTTTTATTGACGCTCCACTTTACCAACATGATATCCTTCTCTGGGGGAATGGTCCTTTCTTACAACATGACCAAAGTAGGTGAGACGAAGTCTGGCCATTCTCACTTCCAAGGAACATTCTGGCTGCACTTCTTCCAGGACAGATTTGTTAGTTCTT